GGGGATGAGGTGGGGCAGCGAGGGGGTCATTAGGGCAGGGCATGTGGAGATGGAGCAGGGATGGGGGATGAGATGGGGGAATGAGGGTCACTAGGGAAGGGGTGTGGGGACGGAGCAGGGGCAGTGGATGAGGTGGGGGCAGCCAGGAGGTTGGTTGGGCGGGCGGGGAGGGAGGTTGGGGTGAGGACTTAGATGTGATGAGGGGGACCATTAGGGCAGGAGGTGGGGAAGATAGGGGGTGGTCACAGGCGGTGAGGAAACAGGAGGAGGCACACCGACTGGGCAGTAACATGTTAGATAGGGCAGGACGTGACATCCTCATTGCCCTTGCTCCAGGGACCATGCTGCCCTGCTCTGAGCCAGGGTCCCCACACTCAGCCGATTCCCCTCACCTCCTAACCCGCCTGCATAGAGGATAGTCTCCAGGCTGCTGCCTTCCCAGCTCCTCAGGTGTAAATCGAGGAAACAACATCTCCTCCCCTTAGATGGCTTTGGATAATGGTGGCACTGCATGGTTGCAGCATTTGTCAAACCCAGAGCATTGGCACTGAGGGCCTAAAAGATTCCCCCAACTTGGGGAAAGGCAGCTTTGATCATCTCCCACTCCATCCCATCCCTCTTCCTTCACATCTCTTTCTAGTACAGCGTTTCCAGCAAAGGATCCCGGAACATTATTACAAGCTACATACTGTGCCTCTGAAATGCAGCCACTGGAGCGGGGCTAACCATCCAGCATATAACCCAACAGTGCAGCCAAGGGGTACGCTGAGACAAACTCCTACTCGTACACAAAATGCCTGGGGATCATTAGAGAGACAAGATGGATGAGGTAATATCTTTTATTAATATTATTAAACATCTTCCCAGAGTAGACAGATCAACAGGTTTTAAGTTCTCATCTGGAAGAGCCACACACATCTACCTCAGAAGGATGATGGGCTAGATTGAGCCTGCAGAGATGTGAACTTTTGGCTCCAGGGAATTCAAGTATTTCACAGCAGAGTTAAAGAAGATGCAGATGCTCAGCACCTTTAAAAAACTGGCAACTTATTTCAGGGCCTTAATATAGATTTTGATGCCTACCTTTCCGGCTCCACGTTTAAAAAAGTTGGCCCTAATCTCTCTGAGCCTCTGTTTTCCCAACTGTAAAATGGGGCTAACAATACTTGCCTACATCATAGATCTGTTGTGAGTGGTGCTGGTTGGGAATTGTCCAACTAAATGGCTTTTCATCAGAAAATGCTCTTTCATTGAAACCAAAATGTTTTGCAGGTGGGATTCCTATAGAAACCTGGCATCATAGAATACCAAGGTTGGAAGGGAGGTTATCTAAGCCAACCCCCTGCTTAAAGCAAGACCAATCCCCAAATGGCCCCCTCAAGAATTGAACTCACAATCCTAAGTTTAGCAAGCCAGTGCTCAAGCCACCGAGCTATCCTACCAACTCACCTAACAGACTATCAGGGAGCCCAAGTTTCCAGGGCCTGCTTCTCTGGGACCACTAGGGCTTCCAGACTCCCTGCCATAGAGCTAGGAGCCTGGAAGCCCTTGTTTTCCAGCCCAGGTGTATTGAGACTGTAAGGTCTGGGGCTGAGACTGTGCCTTACTATGTTTTTTCACAGTGCCTAGCACAAGGGTACCCTGATCTTGACTGGGGCTTCTAAGTCCTTCTGTGATACAAACAAAAAATAAATTATAAACTTTTCTTTCAAAGGAGGGCTGAAAGACCAGTACCTTGTTTTACCAATTAGATGGCAAAATGGAGAATTTCAGGCCTAATTTTATCATTGTGGCTAAGGGGTAGCCATGCATTTTAAACTGTATTCTGCAGGTAAATGACTCGTGTATAAAACTGCTATCATGCTGACTGTTTCCAACCCAAGGGCAGACTGACGAAAAAAAATCCATCTAGTCTTGTTTTTCCTTATTGTTTATTATTTCTCTAGCAAGATATGAGTGCATGGCAACAAACGAAGAAGCCAAAGTCTATGCTCCAAAGACCTTACAACCTAAGGAGCCAATCCTCCAACCCTTCTTCACCAAGGAAGTTTCTTATTTGAGGAAGGGTTGAGGGGCCCGCTTCTAAATTTGACAGGCAATCAAAAATAAATGATAGGGATGGAGGGAAGAGAGCTTCATCAAAGAAAAACTGATGCAGCTTCAAATTTCCTTCCTACA